ACGGAAGAATCCCCACCTCCATTTTAAACTTAGACCCAAATATCACAGTAACAAGGTTATCGCGAATAACCGAACTCAATTACGGGCTCACCATAGCCCGTGCTACATGGACACTTCGTTCTGAGTAGCTAAATCTAAAACAACAACAACAATAATAATGTACCATTTTAAGTGCATGTGTGTTTGTACCTGCGAAGACTTGGAACGGCATTACCTTGTACCATCAGTGTACCACTAGTTGCTATCTCACGTGAACGTCATCTGATCTGATGGGTCCAGCTGTGTACAGCCGTAGGGGCGGGTGCATGACTCCTCCCTCACCAAGGCCGACCATACCCGCACCGACCCACTTTCCTCAGCCTTATGTGGGTGAGACTACCCGCGCCGACCCACTCTCCTTCTGTGGGTGACACTATACCCGCACCGACCCACTCTCCTTCTGTAGGTGACACTATACCCGCACCGACCCACTCTCCTTTTGTAGGTGACACCATACCCGCACCGACCCACTCTCATTTTGTGGGTGCGGGTACCTTGCTCCTCCACGCAAGGTCCCGTCGTTGCTGCGCACTCGGGCCAGAATCCATAAGCAAATCTAACGTCTAATCTGGTTATCATCGTATAGCGTAGCCGACTCGCAACCGGTTTAGCCGGGAATCGAGCCCAGGGTTGAACGAGGCGTTTGTGCACGTTTCCAACACACACGATGTCTTTGTTTACCAGTAAGTATATGTAGGTTCCCCCCGGAGATGGGTAACTATTGTGACTGGTATCTTGGAGAATGGCAGACGTTGGTTAAGGGGGGGGACCTAGATAAACCTGGCAGCCTTCCTCTGCTGGTCAGGAAAATGCTTACCATTATTCAGTTAAGTTAGATTTTTCTACCATTACTTTGTCCCTATTAAAATGGGGTTTTTGTCCTTACGTCATCTCTAATTTGTCCAGCCAGTAGGTGGGACAAAATGCATCACCTGTAGCTTTATTGGCTCGTTCTGCCTTCTTTCTGTCAATAACAACAACACAAACTTCGATTTATACTGGCATTAGGACTTGTTACAATGTTTAAAGTAGGTATTTATAATTCTATTCACGGAGTGAATTAATCACTCGCAACATTTTGGGCAAATATTAAGGTTACTGTGTTGATAAATTGTCACACATGAGAATTATAATACAATGATGTCATTTAACATTTTTAAACACACGCACATATCTCCAGGAGTTGAATCCCACATGTCGTGGGACATGTCGATGTTTGCAGACAATGCAAAATTAATGGGAAGAGCTGAGACACATGAGGAATGTATAATTCTGCAAGACAACTTAGACAAGCTGCAGAGCTGGTCCAAGAAACGGCTACCGGATGTTAAGACCAGTAAGTGTAAGGTTCCATTGAACTAGGAACAGGTGACAGGAGATAACAAGGACGATACACAATGACGGAACAATATACGGCCCAGTAACGACTACAGAGCAAAAGACCTGGGAGTGGACATAACACCAAGCCTAACCCCGGAGGCACATATCAATAGGATAACGACACCAGACATACTCCGCACTAGCAAAAGTCACGTCATCATTCAGGAACTTAAATTAAGGAGGCATTTAGATCGCTGTACACCGCCTGCGTGAGATTGGTCTTAGGCCGTCCCGTCGTGGCGATAAACAAAAAATGATGAGAAGCTTGTAACGAGGCTCGTCCCAGTATTGCGAGGGGTGAGATACGGAGAGAGTGAAATAACCAGAAATTATATTGCTAGAAAAGGAGAGAGAGAGAGAGAGAGGGGGGGAAGGGAGGAAAATAATTATAAGGGAAAGATGCAAAGCCATTGTTGAAGTTGATTGTTGACACTTCGAAGGGATAAGGATTTGGGATGGGAGGAAGGGGGGGACAGAGGGTAGGAATGGTGCCCCAACCACTTGGACGTAACATACGTAGTCGGGGGGTGGGGGGGGGTGGGGGGGGAGTGGAAAAACAAGAAACGTTCACAATAAATATCAATAGAACAAGAAGACACGGGAGGAGAAGGCTGTAGAAGCGAGCTTCATTTACAATTTGACAGAGAAATGGGCCAGGAGTCGTCTGCGTTAGACAACGGCCGGCTTGCAAGGCAGGGACTAAGCGCTGAAGCTCTTTTTTTTTTTTTGTCCATCCTTAATGGTAACGAGTATTTGACTACATATTTTAGATCCGAAAGCTTTAGTGGTAATGAAGCTTCGGTCCTCTCGCCCCGCCTCTCAGTTCTCAATCAACTGGTGTAAGTTTTTTTTTTTTTTTTTTTTTTTTTTTTTTTTTTTTTTTTTTTTTTTTTTTTTTTTTTTTTTTTTTTTTTTTTTTTTTTTTTTTTTTTTTTTTTTTTTTTTTTTTTTTTTTTTTTTTTTTTTTGAGATATATACAAGAGTTGTTACATTCTTGTACAGCCACTAGTACGCATAGCGTTTCGGGCAAGTCCCTGGAATACGATCCCCTGCCGCGAAGAATCGTTTTTTCATCCAAGTACACATTTTACTGTTGCGTTAAACAGAGGCTACAGTTAAGGAATTGCGCCCAGTAAATCCTCCCCGGCCAGGATACGAACCCATGACATAGCGCTCGCGGAACGCCAGGCGAAGTTCTTGAACAATGTTGTTGTTTTAGATTCAGCTATTAGGAATAAAATTTCCATGAAGAACGGGGTATGGTGAGCTCGTAACCTCCCGTTGAACATTTTGGGCTCCATCATGTGTGTTTGAAACTCTGTATGAAGTCTGCCTACACTACCTAACTTCTAAGGCTTGAGAATGGTCCAGGACTGACCGAAACGTCGTCGTCCCTTCAACTTCTAGTGTGTGGTCTGATCAACCTCACTTCTAAGGTTCTTCTCACTTCTTTTCGTTCACTACTTTAACACTAATTCTTTCTAATGTCTCTGTGGCTCATTTGAGTATTAAGTTTGCACCAGTGCCCCCTTGTGAGAGTGCCACCCGTGCTAAATAGTTTGTCTATATCTACCCTATCAATTCTCTAGACAACATTGTGGTAATTATGTCTCCCCTAGTTCTTCCATCTTCCAGTGACATGATCCTCAACTTAGTCTTGTCTGTAATCAGATATGAACTCGACGCTGAAGGCACATACTCAAAGACTGGTCTGACATGTATGTCGTATATGAAAGTCTTAATGATTCCTTGCAGAAATGTCTAAAATCCGTTCTTAGGCTGGCGTACCTAGCATATGCCCCTAATTACATGCTTTAGATGCAGAGTTTTTTAAAAGACAGGTTCGGCGTGATTTCAACCCGCAGATCGATGCAAGTTTGACAGCTTTCTAACATATTAATACATCTTTCAATGTATATGTATGTATGTATGTATGTATGTATGTATGTATGTATGTATGTATGTATGTATGTATGTATGTATGTATATGTATGTATATGTATGTAATGTATGCTAAAGTTGCGAACTGAAGTGCCTCATCAGGTAGAAGCCTGTAGGTCGACGTGAAGGGCCACGTCCACTATAGGCTAAGACGTTTCCTGGCGACACTTTCTTGGATGAGTTATTATTTATTTTTAACATCTTTATTGACAAAATTAATTACAATTTTGCCTAATCCGAGGATTTCGATTAAGTCTTATTAAAGTGAGGATAATGCTGGTATTTACTGTCACGCAGGACAGAGGGTCATACATAAAACAATAAGTCTAAACTGTAGGCAGAAGAACATATATATCATGGTTACAATCAATGTTTTAATGTATGGATATGTGAAAACAACTTTCTATTGTGCACTGCCACACAAGGGCAGGGATGGGTTCATAACTGTTGCAGTTTAGAAGTAATATAAATATTGTTCTTCATTCTTTAAAATGGACAAACAAATTTTGGATAAACTATTAGGATGTCGTCCAGAACACCTGAGTCAATGACATAGTTACACAGTTGGTGGTACAAGAGGCCAGGAGGTCTAAAGTCCTTTACGGCTTCACATTCAACAATATAGTGTTCTAGTGAATGCATTAAAGGCTTATCACAGAGTTTACGATCTGAGTATTCTGATAGTGGCTCAGCTTCACTAACCTGCCAGATGTGTCTATAGCCAAGGCGAATTCGCGCAATGACTACATCACATTGCCTGGTCCGGTTACTGTGCTGACCATACAAATACCTATCATTACCTTGAGTGCCTCCGTTCCTCGCCTCACCCACCCCAACAACAACAACGGCACCTCCTGACCTGTCTCAGTGTCGCCGTGTCACCGTATACGGAAATTTTGTAAACTGTGTAATAAATCAGAATTATATCAATATTTACGTGAATTGTAATCTTTAGAACTGAAGAGTAAGGGGGAAAGTTCAGACTATACAGCCATGACGTCTGGAGTATCCAGTGTAATTCGCTCGCCTGAAGTTTACACGGAAACGATAGCAATACAATAGTTTGTCATGGATTCCTTCACGCTCTACTTCAGATATTACTGTTAGTCGGAGCCTGGGGGTCCAGGGAGGAGCGTGTGCGTCTCGTCATGGACTTGGTGTCCAGTACAAGGTCTGTCAACGTCTACAGGGTTATGAAAGTCGTGACATTTGCTTACTGAGCAAACACCAAGTATACTTTAGTCCTCATGACGGTTCTTGACTTTAAATTCTGTGAATATACCCCGACAATCAGGATATACCTGTGTGTATTCATCCCTCTGATTATCAAGAACTAGCTGTAACTATACATATAATTTGATGAAGCTGGTGTAGTGTACATACTGTCTATCCCGGGAGGGACAGAAATGGTTGGGAGCATTTTCTATCACCTAATGAATTTGTTCACTTAGCAGTGAGTAGGTACTCGGGAGTTAATCAGCTTGCGGGGTCAGTAATTCGGCCTTGGGGGGGGGGGGAGGTATTGACATAAGCCTAACATGTATGAATACACTCTGGCTGCCTGTACCCCGACGCAATGAATTATTAATTAAATTATTTTTCACAGCTCTCTGAAAATCTAATTCACGTTCCTCTTGCAGAACGACAATGACGCCACCAGTCACTAGATGGCTCTGCCTGCACCTCGTGCTCCTGCTGACCCAGGGTGAGTTACCTCCTTTTCTTGGGTTGTGATGGGATTTTTTCTTTTGCCCCGAGGGACGAGTTTATTGGGCAGCGTCACTCATCCTGTGAATGGACACACCGCCATAGCAACATGTACAACACTCCCCAGTAGGAACAAAACCCGCTGGGTTGTTCATTCTATCAGTTATATCCAAACATAGCTGGGACTTGCTTAACTGTTTCAAGTGAACAGCTCCTCAAACAAGAATAATAACCTTTGTCAACCTTTAAAAAACGTAAGTTATCTTGCGGGTGCAAAATGGGGGAACCTTTTGAGAACAGCATTTGTATTTGACACAGTATTTTCCTAACTCAAACAATGTGGGGTCTACTATGCTACACACATTTCTAATGTGTCTTAGATGTTCACATTCTCTCAGGTAGTGGTCAAGGTGGTGTCTGTCACTCTCGCCACAAATTCTGCAACTCCGCTGGTACACTGTTGCTTCCATCTCGAATCTCCATGGATATTTGTATTCAAGACGGATTCTTGCTATTACTGATTCTCTCCCGCGGCCACCTCCTCTTCGTCTATAATGATTGGGATTGCCAGCTGCAACCATGCTGTACCAGCATACAGATTCACTGATTTGTGCTTCTATCCTTTCCTCAGTTACCTTGTCATGGTGATGTTGCCTGACAATACCTCTAATTTGTAGAAGAGTCATGGTATTGCAGTATTCAGTATGCTCTCCGTCAGCGCTTTCGGCAGCCAGCACATCTGCTTGTTCATTTCCACAGATTCCAACATGAGAGGGGATCGACAGAAATTGTACAACTCTTCCCTGATTGGTTAGTACCCTCACAGCTCTCTTGATTTCAGCAACTATCCCAAGGTTTTCTGTCCGATTTTTATTAAGGTTTTGTAGTGCTGCTTTTTGAATCAGTGCAGATCACTGCACCGTTAGTGTTTCAAAGAATCTTAACGCATAATAATGGCAATTAGTTCTACTTGCATTAAAGAGGCATAGTTCTCAATACGTGCTTTTTCTTCACTTGCATTTTGAAAGGCATTATTCCTAAGTGCAGTGTATGCTGCACCAGTCCCGCCATTGACAGGATTAGATGACCCATCAGTGTAGGTTTGATCAAATTCATTCCAGAACTTTTCATTGTCGTCTCGTTCATGATAATCCTACATGATTCATCCTACCAGGGAATGAGGGGGGAAAGGGGAGATAACCTTTCTACAGGCAGGAGCTCACGGGCTTGTTCAAACAAATGAAGTTCGTCCAGGTAGCAGACTTACAGGTGTTGCCATTTTTTGCTTTTCCTGTTTCCTCCTGTGAGTAGCACAGAACTCGTTTTTTTTTCTTGGCAATATCATTATTACGTGTTTCTCTTAATTGCAAGCTTATCATTAAGTTCCCTAATTCTGCTATTAACACTGGTAAGAGACAACTCCTCCCGTAGACTAGATGTTTTGGTAGCTCTTGGAACTCCAAGAATGATTGCCAGGACTTCATTTTGTATGCTTTCAAGATTTTTCATATCGATTTAGTAGGTGCTTAAAACTGGTGCGGCATAGTCTATGACGGAGCGCACATAGGCTGTGTACATAATTTTAAGCACGGTAATAGAGGCGCCATGTCCATTCCAGGTCATAGCTTTCAGTACCCTGAGTCGACTTTTGCATGTTCCTATGAGTTGATTGAGCTCCTCTTTCTTCCCCTTGTTAGAGCCGACAGTGACGCCAAGGTACCGACAGTGGTCAACCCATTCAAGTGTTTCACCATTAATTTGTAGTTCTTCATTTTCTCTTCCCTTATGACGACTTTGCTTTTGTTTTGTTTATGGAGAGTGAAACCGAGTTCAACACACTTCCTTCCAAGGAAGGCCGGCCTCTCATAATGTGTCTGTGGCTCATTTGGGTTCTCAGGTTCCACCTGTGTTAGCTTGTGCGTGTACCTCCCCTGTTAAATAATCCATCCTGGTCTATCCTGTCAATTCCACTGATAATTTCGTATGTGGCGATCATGTCTTTCCGGGTCCTCACGTCTTCCAGCGACGTGAGGTGCAGCTCACGCGGCCTTTTCTCGTAACTCATGCCTCTTAGTTCTGGGACTAGACTAGTGGCATACCTCCAACCATTTTCAAGCTTCGTCTTGTGCTTGACAAGGTACGGGCTCCATGCTGGGGCCGCATACTCCAGGATTGGTCTTACATATGTGGTACACAAGGTTTTGAAGAATTCCTTGCACAGGTTTCTGAAGGCAGTTCTGATGTTAGCCAACCTTGCATACGCCGATGATATTCTTTTGATGTGGGCTTCAGGAGACAGGGTTGGTGTTGATGTGGGCTTCAGGAGACAGGGTTGGTGTTGATGTGGGCTTCAGGAGACAGGGTTGGTGTTGATGTGGGCTTCAGGAGACAGGGTTGGTGTGATACCTGCTCATAGATCTTTCTCTCTGTCCGTTTCATAAAAGGACTTCATCTCCCATTCAGTATCTTGTGTCTGGCCTCCCATTTCTCCCCCTAGTTCCATTACCTTATATTTACTTTGGTTGAACTTTAGTAGCCATTTGTTGGACCATTCATTCAGTTTGTCTAGGTCATCTTGTAGCCTCATACTATCTTCCTGTGTCTTAATCCTCCTCGTAATTTTTGCATCATCAGCAAACATATAGAGGAACGAGTATATTTCTTCTGGGAGATCATTTACATAAATCCGAAACAGTATAGGTCCAAGGACTGATCCCCGTGACTCCACTGGTGACGCCTCGGCACTCTGAGACCTCACCCCTCACATTGACTCGCTGTCTTCTGTTGCTTAGGTACTCCTTTATCCAATGGAGTATCTTCCCTTTCACTCCTGCCTGCATCTCCGTCTTGTGCACTTGTCTCTTGTGTGGAACTGTGTCAAAGGCTTTCTGACAATTCAAAAATATGCAGTCTGCCCATCCCTCTCTTTCTTGTCTGATTGTTGTTGCCTGGTCGTAGAATTCAATTAATCCTGTGAGGCATAATTTGTTATCCCTGAGCCCATGCTGATGTTGTTAAAAAGTTCTTTCACTCCAGATGTTCCACAAGCCTTTTTCGCACAATCTTCTCCATCAACTTGCATGGTATGCAAGTTAGGGACACTGGCCTGTAGTTCAGTGCCTCCTGTCTATCAACCTTCTTGTATTTCGGGACTACATTAGCCATTTGCCAAACTTTTGGCAGTTCACCTGTTACCAGTGATTTGTTATACACCATGGAGAGTGGCAGGTACAGTGCTTCTGCTCCTTCCTTTAGTATTCATGTTGAGTTTCCATCCGGGTTTAATCCCGGATGGAATTAATGATTAATGATTTAAAAAGTTTATTCATCCCCTCATATCTGAACTCAAAACTTTTACTAATAACTATCGTCCTCTTGACATAAAGCTCGCTTTTCAACAAACTAACACACTTCGTAGCAATCTAGTTTACACTGCTCCTGCTTCTAAAGCTGCTGGTATCTACTCTATTTCCTGTTCGTCTTGTCCTCTGCAATATTTTTGGGAAACTGGCCGTACACTTAGTGACAGACTTAAAAAACACAAAAGTGTTAAGTCTGCAGGCACAAACAATGCCCTCTTCTGTCATTTTAGGGATTCTAATCATCCTATTGATTGGTCTTCCTACAAAAAAATCTTTCCTGCCTCTACACAGACGCCGTTTTGTTGAATCGGCTCTAATACACAGCATAGTCACCATGAACCTGAGTCCTGGCTTTGTTGCTGTTGACTCTTCCCTTTCACAGTATAGACTCAAATGCTCTAAACTTTCTAACAAACGTGACCTAACATAAGCTTACCCTTCCATTTACCTTTCTTTCTCTTTCCTCCTTTTTTTTCTCTTACGATTCCTTTCTTATTCTTATTACTATCCCCCTTTATTACACCTTTCGTACCTTTTGCCTTGCTTTTTCTTCCTCAAAGATTTTCTTCTCGCCTCTCTTATGCCTCCTTCCCTCATCTGCTTACAGGCTATTCATGCCCGTGCCACCTCTTAGGTGGCTTAATCTTTATCAATCAATCTTCCCTCATCACAGTCGACTTGAGAATGGTCCAGGACGGACTGAAATGTCGTCGTCCCTTCACTTTTTAGTGTGTGGTTAGGTCAACATATTTCAGCCACGTTACTGTGACTCCTCGTCTGCACCTGGAATTTCTTCTCGAGTTCTTCGCACACTTCCTTGTCGTTTGTAGTGAATCTGTTAGCCCCTATCCTCAGTTTCATTACCTGTTCCTTCACTGTTTTCCTCTTGATGGGGCTGTGCAGCAATTTAGATTGGGTCTTTGCTTTTCTTGCTATGTCATTTTCGTATTGTCTTTCTGCTTCTCGTCTCACCCTGACGTAATCATTCCTGGCACCCTGGTATCTTTCTCTGCTCTCTAATGTCCTGTTATTTCTATCGTGTCTCCACGCCCTTGTACTTTGTTGCTTTGAAAGATTACAACTCTGATTAAACCATCGGTTTCTCGTCTGCATTTCGTTTTTTTTTCCTTTTGGACTGGGACAGACTTGTCTGCTGCCTCCTTACACTTCTGCGTGATGTAGTCTATCGTGTCTTGGGCCGTCTTTCTTCCGACCTCTGTTTCCCACGTTATATCAGTTAGGAATTTTCTTGACTCCTCATACTTTCCCTTTCGGAATGCCAGCCTTTTGTTTTCAGGTCCCTTTCTTGAGTACATTAACCATTCTTCGACCAGATACTCAAACATCAGCACATTCACTCGCTCATTCCCACTGGGGCCTCTAAACCGATTTCCCTTATGTCGGAGTCGTTCAGAGTGAAGACTGGGTCGGGTCTCGTTGGTTCATCGTTGCCCCTCATTCTTGTGGGTCCCCTACGTACCTTGTGACTACCTTGTGTAGCTTCCAGGGATCAATAGCTCGTGGCCCGGTCTCCGACCAGGCCTCCCGGTTGGTCGTCTGGTCAACCAGGCTGTTGGACGCGGCTGCTCGCAGCCTGACGTATGAATGGTTGGTTGATGAGCTATTCTTTGGAGGT